TCGGGTGTTTTGTTATATTTGTTCTTTCATCTGTCTGTTGAATTTCTGAAATGTATGTACGCTTATTACTTCCGAACGACTGCACTCACTTAAAAAATATTTTTCTGCCGTTTTTTACGTTCAGGACACAAAATTCGCAAGTAAAATTCTGTAACAGTATCGCGTGAAATCGAAGCTGGTAGTAGATGAAATTATAATCATAATAAATTTAGAAGAGAGATTCGTTCTATTAAGATTCAAAATGTGTACTATGAAGACCCGGTACTATCTAATAAACTCTATCATGACTAGACTGCAGTATTATAATTGTAATCATTGTTTTCTGTGTTTGCTGTTCTTCTTGGTCATTTACGATTTAACTTATTACAATTCGCTCCATAGTTGGGAGACTTAGTCTAGCCAAGACAGTAACAATTATAAATTCCGCCTCATTCCTAGAGTCATAACAAAAGTTTCTTTAGTCTAACTTAGTGCAATTCAAGTTGGATACAAGTTCGTATAATCACATTGTTTCATAACAAATGTAGTCATAAGTTGGATGTTATGTTCATACATTTTCAGGGTTTCTTAGTTCAAAAGGATAAAGGACTCGCTTTCTACATTAGGAACTGGTTTTAGGTACCAATGAAAAAATTCAAATGACCTAAAACATGTTAAGATGGGATGACAACTGGGTAAGTTATAGTGATTGTAGTGTGCTTTGAAATTCTTTAATCGATAATGAGAACAAAAATTGCAGTAAGCTCAATTAGCGATAAGATTGTATTAATGTATGGTTTACTATGGTAATTTTATCTCAAGAATATTTACGTTTGAAGTAGGTATAAACAAATGTAGGATTCATATAATCAAAATTCTCATTATTCTCATTAAACTGATCACAAATTAGAATATACTTACTTATGTATGACATATTTAAGTAGGATGAAGCTAAATTATGTAATAAATGACGTAGAATGTATTATTTCGACCAGTGGGCTGGAAATAATTAATTAATATTATCTGAATGAAACGATACGTCAATATGTGGAGTGACCATGACAGTTTCAATGTCGGGAAATTCATTATTTTAAATGGATTTATCGCGTCAGCTGACGGTTTTGACTACATTTTTACTGGTCAAGATGAAATAACGTAACATTGAGAAGCAATTTTGAGCAATTCTACTAAAACTGCCTAGTTGGCCGAGTGGTCGCAAGTGCGACTGTCGGGCAAGGGGTCTCGGGTTCGGTTCCCAGGTCAGGCAAAGTAGGTTTTTAAAAATCTCAGTTGTAGCACGGAGTCTGGAATTGTGCCCGGTATATGGCAATAGGCTCACCCCCTATTACATGAGACTCATGACATAAATAGTAAAAAATGTGGGTGTTACATTGTATAGTGGCATTAAGAACCGTTATGTGCACCTCTGCCTACCCCTTCGGGAATAAAAGGCGTGATGTTATATGTTATGTTATGTCTACTATAACTATAACCAATTAGGTACAAGAATATATCTTACACAGATTCTAAGATATGACTTTAACGTCAATATTGACATTAATGTTTGTATCTGTCAATGTCAAATAAAACCAATTCCTATTATCGTGGGGAACCATTGTCTCCCTACTAGCCTCATTTTATCAGATTGCTATTTGTGTCGCCTGGATTTGTATCGCTCTCATTGGGTGTAATGGATTTCCTCCGGCACAAAGCACACTTTGAACTGTTCTCTAGGGGTGCTACTCGATTGCTTACAATGACGCGATCGATCGCTATGAATTATTTAAATAGACTAGACTGTTCTACAATTCCTAGGAGGCCAGCAATGAAGACTAGAAAGACAGACATGTTCATATATTATGCATTTTTGCTATTTTGACCTTTATCTTTACAGATCCTTTCTAGAACTGTTGTTTACAAAAAGACGACACAAACGTGATATATAGCTGAAAAATAAAGCTACACTGAATGAAAAATAAAATTAGATTAGTATTGAAATAAATGCGACCCAAACTCTGCCTCGAGGCAGAATTGTAAATGGCAACATTTTAATAGCTTATCTATGATGGATGTAAAAGTGGATGAATGATATCTTCAGATTGTGGTTAGCGAAGTAATTTGTTTTCAGTTAAAAGTAAAACTAGGTAGGGGTTGGAATAATTCAGTTCTAGTAACAAGGTTGTACCTAACACCTTTTAATACTTATAAACTAAATCAAATATGAATCATAAAGCAGATGAATATGTACTAAACATCAGCGTAAGGCCGTCCAAATAAATCGTTTACACAAAAACAATATTCAGTATTGGATGATAAACGATTCGGTTTGGAGATGAAGAAAAATGAACGTTTGAAGTCAGCGAGTATACTTTGATAAAATAACGATTACAGAAATGAGGTCAAAATAAGAAGAATCTAATCTAAGAAAAGATGTTGGTGGCCATTTGTGCTTAGTTTATGACGTTTTAAGTCACGTGGGTGTCTGTGCATTGTGGTAACATAATCGTAAAGGAAAACAATGGATTTTTATGGATAATTTTATGCATTATTACTACAGTGGTTATATGTTACCGTAAATCCCACGTGTGCTTTTACGGTATATTGAGAAGACGAAGAAGGAAACATTAATTTCTCATTACATTAGCTAAAAGAACGAGAGAAGGGGTCCCGATCAAAACAAAAATGTTACATAAAAATTAAAAAGAATAAATACGCCAACGGTAATTCTAGTGTAAATAAAACTGAATCGAAACGGCTTTAAATATCAGGAAATAAATAACAAGCTGCTATAAAAACCGCAACGGTAGTTCAACATCAGCTCGAGTTGAAATAAACAGTGCCTATTGCTCATATTTTCCAGTTCTGCATAAAGAGCGTTGAGTGGTACTTCAGTAGCGGCATCATTAATATTCGCAGTATACTTAAAGGTTTAAACATCGCATAATTCAGTAACAGGTGGCTACTTATTGAGCATCAAGTTCGACCCGATGTGGAATTGATACTTGACGCCGATGAGTTCAATGGTAGAGAGGGTAAGGAGTTTGAACTAGAGGCCATTGAAGAAAATTACAAAGGAATAAGATGATTGGGATTTTAGATTGATAAATGATATGAATAGATATGTTTTTCTAATTGTTTACATGTTTCTTTATCTCTAGTGCTTTTACTTAAGGTTGAACTAGCCTTAAAAAAATATTCAGGCAGAATAGAATGTCTACCAAGCGCGAATGAAATACATTTATGTTTTTAACATAGTCAGTTTTTAACATCTTTGTAACTTTACAAATTGAATTCCTAACCTAGTCATATTCTTTTAGTTTGTAAAACTTAATAGCAGATTGAAAAATCTGTCAAGAAATAGCCCCTGCGATATAAGTTCAGTCCCGAAGAGATGTCGCAGCTTGTGTGCCTGTCTCGCAATCGCAAAGATGACCATGTGTGAGCTTTGAGATGGGTCAGATTGTTAAATTGAAATCTGTCAACATGACATTTTGTGTCGGAACTAATGCACATTTATTTTTAGTTCTCTGATATGAAATCTTCCGTGAAAATAACATTTCTTTTTTCAAGAAATATGCCCTCAATGTGCTGCATTGAGTGCGATGCATTTAAAACCGGATAGCATCAAAATAATTATTATGTTTTCGGCTTACTCACGTAACTGTTTGACGAAAACATATTTACTTAAAAGGCTCATTCATGAGCAGCATTCCGCGACCTGCGACTCGGTGACTGTCGTGCTGCTACTGGCTGCTCGAGTCTGCAGCGGTGCAGGCCCAACGCGCCCACTGCCGTGATTCTCATCGTTATTGAATAAGCGCTTCTTGCATGGCTTGAAACTAGTCGAGTTCCTCGTCAAACAGTTACGTGAGTAAGCCGAAAACAGTAATTAATTTGTGCGTTTCACGAAAGTTTTAATATAAGCATTAAAATACACACATTTTTACTCATCAATTTCCAAACTATTGTTGAGCCACGATACAGCTCTGTAACTAGAAATAACTGGCACTAACAAAAGGGAATATATCAAAACTACAAAGCCAATGTGAGTACATCATAATCCTTTTAACAAAGTGTAAACAACAGCCAACAGTAGCGAAACTGTTCTAGTTTCTGCAGTAAACCGCGGGGCACATGATACTGCGACAATTATACCAAACGGTAACTGAAACTTTGTTAGCGATGCAGGATAGCTACAAACATCGCGGCTTGTGTTGCTTGCGTTATTAAAACTTTAGAGGCAGAATAGAAACTATTTAATTCCACCTTGGGCTTTAAAACGATTTTGTAAAGTCAGATATTTTTATGACACCTATTATAATCAAACCAAAACGGCATTGGTACATAAAATACCGTATCACTTCATTTGTAAGTTAGACCAAAGTTTTCCCACACCATAAACAAGAAATAAAAAGAGTAAGTAAACACGCCGGTCACGTTTCCCCGGATAAACTACATTCATTCAGAATTCACTAATGAGGTACGTATCCAAAATTACCACAAGAAAATAGTCCAACGACGGATGACCTTGAAAATGTAGATAATGCGGCCAAAAAGGAACAATTACTATTCCCAACATTTCAAGACCATCCATTCTGAACTATGTTTTATTCATCCTCATTACTTAAGTGGGATAAAATAAATTACGGCGGAATTTGTAAAATGGTCCAAAAATATTGGCTTAAGGAAGGTTAAAAGTTATGGCTTTTCATGTCGGCATGCGGCAGGCGGATAAAAATTAGTCATCTTGTGATTTACATTAATTAAAGATTCAGCTGATTAAACGTTTAATAATAAATTTTAGACAACAGATGCTGCTGAATGTGGGACCCTTTCAAGCTGGAGGTAAGACTTTTATAATATAATCAGATATTCAACAATCTGTAGGATTTAATGACGTCGTTCAACAAGGCAGTCTACGGGCCTTAGAGAAACAGGAGATGCTGATGCATGCCAGTAAATGATGATGCTGCTGATAATGATGACGATGAGTTAGAAATTAAAAGAAGCATATCACTTACTCCGCACTGTGAGGTTGACTCTATCGACGTAGGCTGTCTCGTTCTCCACTGAGCACTCGTACAATCCTGCGTCATCTACGCCTATATTTTTAAGTAGTAAACTACCGTCGTTCTGAAACAATGGAGAACATTATTTAGTTTATTAATAAATCTATGATTATGCACGTATCCATCTTAGATTCACCCTTTGAGTAAAGGCTAAAAGTTTGTCTTCAGAGTAGAAGGCGTGAGACGAAAAGAATGTTTAAAAGATCGATCATTTCTATAAGAAATGGACTAACATTATTAAACAATCTATCTCTATGAAGCTTTACTGAAGAGAGAGGCAACATGTCCATTGTCCTTTATTACTCTGTTCTAATCCAATTATAAAAACGAGTGAGTGTGAAGTTTGCATGTAAATCAGACAGCTATATTTAAATTTCTGTAACATAATATTCACGCGCTATTTCGTCTTGACTTCCACCTGCGTCCTTCGAGATATCGCGTGACACCACAAATGTACTGGAAGATATTAGGTGGGTTCTATAAATAAAATAGCAGTGGCGTTTGTTATTGTTTGGTTGGGCCTGCACTTTCTATCGATCTGAGCTTCAGAATTCTTTGTTCATTGCTATCATCCAATTGTTGGTATCTCCTTTAAGTTAGATACAAAATATAAGACACCTATTATTGTTTGTTGTAAAAGATTTAAAACTAAAATTTTGAAATTGCAGTTGTCAAGAACGAATAGGTCTAGAAATATGCCTGTTAGTAAGTAATGCTAGTATCCAATAACTCGCCTTACGATAAAGATCGACGAAGGGAAATTGGTTGGTGTTATGCTGTGGGCGTTGGAAGTTGGACTAGTGACCTATTTAATGCAATTTTTAAGCCCAGCGCGCCGTCGGTACTCTATTGCAATGGACGTGTTTTCGCTTTACACATGTGGTGGTAGCGCACTTTGAAGTAATGTATGTTAAGGGAATGTGAGCAATTTATGTGAATAGACACAAATTGCTAGAATAAGGTTAAAATCCGAAATAAGAAGATTAGAACACGCAATACTACAGCTGATGTGGACGATAGATAAATGTAGTCTGAAACATTAACAAAAGAGGTCCGAATACTTGAAGACCACGACAACAGACTGTAAAGTCATTAGGTCACAGACGTAGGTACTATAATAAATTGATCGATCACATAAAACGGCTGTCATTTATGGCCAAACTTAGAGCCCAACATAAAGTTGTAAGACAGAGTAGAATTTACGACTAAAGTCATTACGCGATTAATACCCGTAACTTAATTCGCTCAAACATAAATATTGGCGGACGAACAGCTATTTTGACGGTAAAGTTTAGACAGGGACAGAATCAGGTTAACTGTATTTACGCAACACCATGGCCTGTGGACCTAAGCGATTTGGAACGTAGGCAACTACATGTAATCTGATCTGATCTGATCTTACACCAGACTTCTTTCTAATAATTCATGGGTTAGAATTGTAAAAGACAAAGTAATATGTAATAACTGTATAGCAATTGCACAAATTGTAGCAGTAAAATAATTTGAAGCAAGTAATAAGCAATAACACCTCTGAAGTGCCTACAAAAAACTTAATTTAGGGCTGGAGAATGAATCCAGATGGCTTTCAAGACAAGAATATAAGACCACAGCTGTTCGTTCAATCGATATTTGATATCATCTCGCGAATACTTTTGACAGCTATCATTGAATAACTGAAGAGCGCGTCTCGAAGAGCAATAGCAGGAGGTAATTCATCATCTTCTTTATTGTTATGCAAAGAACCCTAAAACTCCAAGTGAAAAATTTGCGTGAAAAGCAATCACAATAATGGCGGTAACTCGATTCTGGCGAATGCCAATATTTACTAAGGCAATTTTAGTGGCACCGGCCCGTTTAGGCCGAGCATCGAATCATGCCGCCGGCCTTGGTTCAAGCCTTGAACTGCGATCGATATGGAGTGGCCCACGTCTGACGAGCCTAGGTATCAACAGTTGTATATAAATACCATGTAATAGCACTTACATGTGCACGGAAATAGTTACGTAAGTACACATTACACAGCACAGCCTTTGAAGGACGCCTACCAGAATTTGTTTGCAAACGAATAGGTTCAAGTTCCTCGTTCAGTAGCTCCGTCTATTTTTACTTCCATATTTTCGTCGTCAATAGCATCGAACAATGAATGAGGTCGTACGTAAACAAATTATAGGCTATTAGTTATTTAAAATAGTTAAACTTTCAATAAATCAGTTCAGTGGTTAATATAGTGGATGATGTTTTCTGATTTATGGCGCATTCAATATCAGCGAGCGTAGCAACAAAAGCTTTGCATAATTTATCACTGGTATTAAAATTATAATAGTGTTTACGAATTTCTGCTACCATTTTAATGAGCAGTTTGTGATCAACTATCATATTTATCATTGTCACAAACAATAACATCCACTGTTTTATGGAGTCGTGCAATAAAAAATCCGTCATCTTTTCTTTTATAACTTGCTGAGAATGGTTACTTTGATAATTTCACCTAATCTTTACTGTCTTCGATATTTATTAACTTTGTACTAAATTACTCAGTTTCTTTACGAGATACATTTTTGAGAGAATTTTAAAGAAGCCATCTATACTTAACATAAAGATACTTTATTATTATTTTTTTACTTTATATAATAAGATTATATAAGATACTTAAAATAAAAACTTTAAAGATACTACATCTATAAAATAATGGAACCAATGGGTTTCATTCACCAAAAACAAAAGGCTTTTATTATCTGTGTACACAGATAAACTCTTTACTTAAATTAATTACTGTAAAGTTTTAAACACTGTTAATAAAAAGTTACCTAAACCACTCCTGTGAAGTTACAATCAGTTTGGTAATTCTGAAATTAGTCCAGGCAGCCAGACTAAAATTTAAATAATGCTAGTTTATATTCTAGTATCATGCAACGCCTGAGCTTAAGTCTGGCTTTTAGTATTGATATTATGGGTTATGACCAAGACTGCCATCTTAATTTTATTGCTGGCGTAGAAAAGAAAATAAAACACAGAAAATCTGGTGGTTTTCTAAAATTTTTTTCTTACTAGTGTTACAAAACACGTAGTCTGAAATTGTTACTGTAGGATTCCATTTTTAATAGACTTCTTCTTAACAAAAATAGTCGTATCAAGATGGATGGTTAATCCTCTATATTTAAACACACTAATTTTACATGACAATGATGAATTTCACTTTACCATAACTGAAATTGGTTTTCGACAAGATATTATTCGAGAAGTGTCAAGGATAAAACGTCTCACGGTCGTCGGAGTAAGGCGGGATATCGACCATTCTACTTTAAGCGCAAAGAATTAAGGCTTTTGTGTTGAACCACTCCAAGTTAAGTTTCAGAAGTGCGGTCGGTGTAAAACCGAGTGAAGTCTCAGGTAGAAATTCATTTGATCTTCAGTAGCACATTTTTTTAAAGATGAATCTTAACTTAAGTTGAAAGTCATTGGAATTCTTCTTCAAGAGTTTAACAAACATAAATCTTCAAAACAGAAGGCACAGGCACTGAATATAAGACCTTGGTGTGTAAATCAATTTAGGAACAGTAAAGAGACAAAATGGACTTATCAGTAAAAAGCCATCTGTCCATTAACAACCTATAAAAAGAAAATGATTGCCCAAAAAGCCATAAGACCTTAAAAGATTCGATTAGCTCGTACCTAAGGCAACACCATTATCTGATTGGCGCAAATTGAGCGTTCCATTCGAAGCTCTCGACAATCTTATAAAATAAACATTGGCTTGGGATAATACTATTAGACTTAGGTATATAGCCCTGTGGAACAAACACCTATTTATCTACGACAAGCAATTTACCTGACATGCTCGATTTTCTGACCAAAATACTCTATCAGGGTGCTGTTCTTCAAACATTGACTCACGGACCATGAAAGTGAGTGGTGAGATTACTAGCAGAACAATAATGCCCAGATTTTGAAATAGAATAATTTAAAAGCACTGGGCACTTACTAATTGACAAATCAGAATAAATTAACCCCGAAAGTACCTGTTTTCCAGCACTTTATTTATGTGGGACTTTCGGGAAATTTATGGTTGACTAGCTTGTAGCGACCCGACGCCATTTCTTGCGTAAAATTAAAGTAAAACGGTTCTCTAAACCTTTTCTAGGGTACTGCTAAAATTGTATTATATTCATACAAGGGGGTTCTAAAATTAGACTTCATCTTCCTTTATTGATTTTGTCCCTGTTTTTGAACCTCCGGTTTTATCTTATCTTTTCACCTAAATGGTGCAAAAACGTTAAAAATTAGCAGAGAAGATTAGCTTACTAAAGATCAGTCGTCTATAACGTATTAGACGTACAGATAGAGGTAAATTACAATTGTGGTACAAGGTAGAGGTGATTAATTGAGGGTCATTTATAAAGGGAATGTTTGGCTTACGGATTAATGGCATAGTGTCAATATTCACTAATGATTATTTATTTCATTAGGTTACCAGAACTGAACCCATATGGCACTTTGCTAACAAATTCATTTGAATAATTTAGTTTAGATTTATATTTACGTGTTCCAATGATCAAGTACGAAATAAAAATATCTTATTTATTATTATTGGCATCGCAAATGTGACGGCCGAGGGTCTATCGATTTCGTTCACAATTTGTCAATGAGTTTGACGTTTCAATGGAAATAAATAGAATCCGTCAGGAAGGCTTTCTACAAGTAAACCTCTGCGCCCTTTTTCGGGGAATCAACAAACGTCTGTTTTTTTACACCAAACAATATATTCTCAGGTTTTAGTAGGTATTAAGAATTACATATGTAAATTCAAACAAACAGCAGTCTTATGTAAATGTTTGAAGGTCACTACGGTGCATAAAGGGCAGGTATAATAAACATTATTTTTCCGCACGTGGAAACGCGTGGGGTCTCGGCAATACTCGGTTATACTCGGCATTTATCGTGAGTTATGTGAGGACGTGGTATACTCCACTTAGAAGGTTAAACACAGGATGTAGAGAATATGACCCACCATTTATTTTATGAGGCTTGGCTCTATTCAGCCACTTAACGCTGATTTGAAACGTT